TATATATATATATATATATGTACATATGTAAGTACGTAATGTCTTAATACTAAATCTTAGTATTAAATCGTCTTAAATTTACTTTCTATTGTTGAAGAATATGATATTAAAAATCATTCTCGATCTTTGTCCTAACCAACAATATTGTTAATATTCTCCTGTTGAACGAAATATATATGAGAAATAAATATTTAAGTCGATAGTTAATGGTAATTAAAAATAAAATTCGCTGGATTTTTTAAAAGAGTATGAATTACAAGCCTTAAATTATACAAGCAGATTAATATTAGATTTGACATATTTCAGCTTCCATGATGAATATTATAAACAAAATTTTGATACTCCGATGGATTTGCCACTCTCTCATTGCAGATTTGGTTTTACAAGATTTTGAAACCTGGGCTCTTAAGATGTTAGGATTACAATTGCCTTTTTACCTGAGATATGTAAATGACACAGCATTGGCAGCTCTTTTTAACTTAATTGATGATATATTAAAAACTTTTAATTCATTTCATAGTAGACTCAAATTTACAATGGAAATGAGAGAATTAACTTTTTAGACTTTACTATAATTAAAAATAACAATATTTTAGAATTTGACTGGTATCACAAGTCCTCGTTTTTAAGGAGATACCTTAATTATTTATCTTCTCAATTTCTTAGAAAAAAAGAGTACAATGATAGAAATGATAGAGATTTTATTCTCAAAAATCCTAAATTTCATGACAAAATGTTAGGCTTTTTTATTAAAAAATTATATTATTAAAAATTATTTTAATAATATTATTAAAATATTTTTAAAAAATTATTTTAAAAAAAAATGACTATACAGCGGATTTTATTTTCAATTAACTATCGACTTAAATATTTATTTCTCAAACGTATTTCATTTGAACAAGAGAATATTAATAATAATGTTGATGAGGACAAAGATTGAGAATCATGGTTTTTAACCATATTCTTCAACAATAGAAAGTAAATTTAAAACGATTAGTACATTGTGAATAAAGAAAACATTACACAGATATTGGAGTTAAGTTATCATTCCATATTAAGATTACGCACTTCGTCCTGCGTTGACTCTTATTAGCCTTAAATTGGTATTATTGTTGTTTTACACTATTATTTAAAATAAAAAATACAATAATATTTTCACGTATTGATATATAATATTTTCGCAATGTAATTTGTGTAATTACTATGTAACAGAAATTTATAAATTTAGAAAAATAAATTTATATTTATTTTTGCATAATTAATATCACATGTTTTACATATCCACATATTAAATTTTTATATTACACTATATATAAACATTATATTACATTACGAAGTATAATGAATAAATTTATACATATCTTTTCTAATTTTTAATAAAATACCCTCTTCATTTAATTTTGAAATTAAAACAGTTAAATTGTCCATTAAAATATTTTCAGATATTGCAAGTGCTTCCAATTCTTTTACTGAAAATGTTTGTTCCTTACCTACAGCTACCTTTTTTTCTAACATCTTTATGAATGTTTTCAGCTGTAAGAAAGAATTATTATAAATATAGAATATAAAGTGTGTAAACAATTGAATTTTTCATGTAATTTAAATATATAAAAAAATGTACATATGCACATATGCATAATTTACCTTTCTGTTTGTCAATTTTCCATCAGAATGTAATTTTGGCATTACATCACGATCATCTTCTATTGTATCTATCATTGCATATCGCAATATATCTATTACGTCCAATGCATCCGATTCAGTTGCTTCCATACGTAATTCCAGTTTTGCCCTAGCCTATAATAAAATGATATAAATTATCTTATTTGATATATTTTGATTTATGACACATATAAAGTATTAAACCTCAGTTAATCGAATCATAGCTTCTAATTGCCTGTTGAATATTGGTATGCTATTAAATTGCTCATTTTTCGCTCGAAGTTTTAAATAATAATTTTGTAATACTGTTGCGGCTTCAACGGATAATTTCGGTTTCACATATTCTCGGGCATAGGAAATATAAGTTCGAAGAATAGGCTGTGGTATAATTTCAGAGGCCAATGGCAGCATCAGCTTTTTTCTGAAAATATTTATTTCACAGTTAAATTCACTGTTTTATTTAAAATAAAAATAATTACAACAATACTTTAAAATCCGAAGCGTCACTACGGTCTGAGTATTGAGATGTTGAACTAATATATATATTTTTAAACAAATGAATTAATTTCAGAAATGATAATTACGTGCCGATATAGTTGTCGGCATTAAATGCAATTGATCTGAAATATTAATAATCCCCCCAAATTTCCCAAATTAATCTTAAAATATAATTACAATAAAATAATTACAACAATATTAAGGAATTGGGAATAAAGATCCTGAACGATCAAGCTGGAAATTTAGCGCTGAAATAATTCTATGTGAATTTATACATTACATATCCAGTTTCTCAAACTACGTGCTGAGTTTATTTTCAGTCTTGAAACGCAATTCTAAAGTCGCGTATAAACTTAGCGAATAAACACCGAACGCGAATATTCGGACATGTTTGTGTTTGTAAGCAGTTTATTCTTTTTCTAGATTGTATATACTAGCATTCGATTAAATTCAATGTTCGTTGCACATAGCAATTAAACTTGTGCAATTTTTATGTAACAAATAATATCATAAAGTTTTGCGTTCGCTGTTTGTTCGATGTTCGTTCGCTAAGTATACACATATATGACTTAATGTTGATATTTTTTCTATATACATATTACACGTGTACTACATTCGGGAATATTACGAATTCTGAAATGGCTTTGTTCTTTACGTCTGATCGTAAAGTCATCTCAAGGTCATAGTAGCAGGTCATTGAACTCATCTTGACACCAGTTACAATATTATGAAGTAAAAAATATGTAAAAATATGCCATTTAAAAAAATTAGGGTGACTGACTTTTTTCTTAAAAAGAGTATTTTGAAAATTTTTAATAATGCAATTTGTAGCCGATTGAAAATTGATTAATTTTTATCCAAACTTTGTCAGATCATCGGAAGTGCTGGAAAAATCGTGATCACAGTTACGTGGGACATCCTCTCTGTGTGTGTGTGTATCTTAAACTGTTATTTGTTATATGGCGATACTTTCCATTTTTTAAATGGAACAATATGTAAATTTCTGCATTTCATTGATAGATTTTACTTAATATGACAATATTTATTTAAAACATTTTTTTTCCATTTCATTTTTCCCATTTTTCCTAATAAGACAAGTTAAATTAATCAAAATTAATTAAATTAATTAATTATGATGAAAATTATTAATAACAAATTTGAAAATCATTACTGTTAATAACAAAATCTATTTTATTAAAAAAAAATGGAATATCGCTTTTTTTTATTCCTTTTTGAAGGATTGGAAATAGTATCCCCGTTTGTCATTTAAAATATCTCAATTAGAAAAGTTTTAAAAACATTTTTTCGCTATCTTTAATGATTTTGAAAAAAATACATTATAACACTTAAATTTTGGACTCTATAGTATACAAAATTAATATAATTATATTAATATAATTATTTCTTACCTCAAAGCACATTCATTGTGGAAAAATAATTTCGTAATTTCTTCATTGGAATTTGTATGTGAATTGGTATGAACAGTCATGATATGTTTACATAATAGATTATCAAAATGCTATTATATATAGAGAAAAAAATAATTATAATAATTATTATACAAAGAGTCCTATTTTAAATAATCTAGTTAAATATCTTAAGAATTGAGCCCGACAAACAAAAATATTTTATATAATTTTATTATAAGAGCAATTGAACCGAATGATATGAAATTTTATTACAATACACAGTATACATATAGTTTTTGCCCCTACTTTAAAATTACATATTTATTTTTTTATTATTCGACTAAACTATATAATTTTTGTGTAACAATCACATTTTTCTTTTACAGATTCGAAAATCCCTTTCCAGGATTAAAGTATATGAGTTA